GCAGTTTTGTCCGGAAGACTGTGCTCAGGTTATGACGACTAATCCCAAACCGAACAAGGCATTAAAGGTAGGGAAAAGCTGAGTGGGTGGTGCTGGGTGGTTGGGGAGGCTGTCACAGAGCTGTGCGATGTTGGTCATACGTGACTGTTCTTTTTCATTCCAAGAGACTCTTAGAAATGGGTGCTGATACAATTTCCCACTGTCTACAGCAAAGGTTAGGGTAGAAGAATACTGGCATTATCCAGAAAGAGGCCTGAAGTCTCTGGGGTTGCATGGAGGCTGGCATATCCCAGCAGCTGTCCAAGAGACTTCTGACTGTAGGAGGTATTGGCAGCATCCTGAAACCAGTGCTCCCAGTCTTGGCAATGAAGTACTTTTACTCTCAGGATGGGGAGGCACTGGGGAATGAACTTTTTCAGCTGGTGTCTCCCAGATCCATGAGACAGTAAATGCCTTGGATGTACCAGCTGGTGGTCTGTGCCTGGGCTGTTCATGCATTGCTGAAATTTCTTTCCAGTGTTTTGGCTCTTCATTCCGCATGTCCTGCAATTGCTGAAAAGACAAAAGGATGGTGTCTTTAAAGTTCGGTGTTCAGTGATAGTGAAGGTCTTTTTCAGCCTAAACAATTCTGTGACTCTGAAAATAATGGTAGTGGCAAATGTGCTTGGAGAGGAAAGGGCAAGGCCTTGGTGGTTTTCTCATGTAACTTCAGTTACTACATGCTGTGCCCCAGCAAAACCAAATCAGGCTGTCCTTGAAGCTGAGCATGCTTGGTTTTCTTCAATGAAAAACCACAAAATGCTGAATTAAGCCCTGCACAGAAGCAGCTATTCTGCTTTAGAGATGCTGCACTGGTGTCCCAGTGTAATGCTAGGAAAAGGTGTCATCTTTAACATTCATTATGAATTCCAGGTCCTGACAAAGGACTTCACAAAAAAAGGCTTCAGCTGACTCTACATTTATCCCCTTGAAAATCTTGCTGTTGGGTTCACATTGGGTATGCAAAGCTCACTGCTTTCTCTGACCTAAGAGGGTGACCCAAACCCAGACAACTACAGTGCTCAGATCTCTGCCATGTTTAACCCAGACATTTTAGTGGAGCTTGTGCTCTCCACAGCACATCAGGGGTGTTTTCCAGGTAGGGATGTCACGTTGCTGAGGGGTGGCCTTTTCTCCTTCTGCTGCCCAGAGCATCTGCTCGCCTTGGGTTGCTGCTACCCCTGTGCTGTTGGTATTTGCAGGTAAAGGAGGAGTCAGGAGAGAATGCCCCAGTGCTGAGTGATGATGAACTCGTGTCAATGTCCGTACGGGAGCTGAACCAGCACCTGAGGGGTCTCACCAAGGAGGAGGTCATCCGTCTGAAGCAGCGGAGGCGCACGCTGAAGAACCGGGGCTACGCTGCCAGCTGCCGCATCAAGCGTGTGACTCAGAAAGAGGAGCTCGAGAGGCAGCGGGTTGAGCTGCAGCAAGAGGTGGAGAAGCTGGCCAGAGAAAACAGCAGCATGAAGCTAGAGCTGGATGCCTTGCGCTCCAAGTACGAAGCACTCCAGACCTTCGCTCGTACTGTGGCGCGAGGGCCTATTACCCCGACCAAAGTTGCCACCACCAGTGTCATCACCATCGTGAAATCAGCCGAAATCTCATCCAGTTCTGTGCCGTTTTCAGCAGCCTCCTAGTGCCCTCGGTGGGGGGAACTAGCAGCCTTTCAGAGGGGAGGGGATAAGGCTCTTATGCATTGTTTCGGAGTCCTTGGTCACGTCAAGAATTGGCATTTTAAGAAGTCTCTTCCAAAAGTGCAAAAAACAGAAGAAAATAAAAAAAGAAAAGAGAAAAACAAACAAACCCAAAGGGTTCCTACAAAGGGAACTTAACTGGCTGCTTCTGTCTGGACTCAGTGGCTCCATCAACCTCTCATGTCCAGGATTTGAGCTCTGTACGCAGTACAAATTGCAAGATCTGCTTCCTCCTTCCCTCTGCCTCCACAAACCCCTCTCAGCTGTGGGCAGCTTTCCAGCTGGGAGAAGATACCTGAGGAGCCTCTGGAGTCTTCGTGAATGATGCTCAAGAGCCAGGAAACATACGGACCGTAGAAATCATCATGTGAGATGAATGTATGGGAAAAAGAGTTTCCTTTAGTGGCCTCCTACTCCTTGTAAGAAGGGTCTCCCCTACCTCCCCCACTTCCATCTGATATTGTGAGGGCAGGAACATAGGCTTTTTGGGTTTGATTTAATCCTTCTGAGAGTGGATGGGAGTGGGAGGATGATGGAGATAAATGCTTGGGTCTGACCACACCCATTAAGAATAACCTTTTGTTTTCAATCCATGCTGTTAAAATATGGAAAAATATATATTTTACATATTTTAATATGCCCCATTACCTGTGTGGCCTGTAAAAAAACTACATTGCAGCCTCCTTTATTCCAAGCCCAAGTTTCCTGATAGCTCCTTCCCAAAGGTGTGCCTGTGAATTTGGTATATTTATGCAGTTTATTTCTTCCAAATGATCCGCAGTCTTGAAGTAGCAGCTTTTTTTTCCTGGGTTACCTGAAGCTGAAGGGAGGGAGGCACAGTAAATGCTGTGAAGAGCAGTGTGATGGGGAGGAGAAGGGGAGATGAGGAGGAAAAATGCTGCACATATTACTGGTGGAGGCGGAATTGGCTGTGAGAGAAGGTGGGACAGTTCTGCTGGGATCAGCACTACGAGAAGGGGTTTTGCAGAGTGTTTTGGAAGGATGTTTTTAAAACACTGAAGTGTAACTAGAGGGCAATAGCATTCAGCTAGGAGGAGAGAAGTTTAGAGTCTCCTCTTTGACAAAAGCATAGGTATGTTAGCAATGAGCATCCTTAGCTGGAGAGCTGTGCTCACCAGCCCTTGGTGATCAGAGAAGGGCTATGGGGAGGTCAGATGGGAGCTTGGAAGAGTCTTCCCCTCTCCGTAGCACATCAGATGCTGAATTTGGGATCCAAAGAGTACAGTGAACAACCCTCAGTGTTCAGACAACCTGTGTGAATGTGACCCTGAAACTTGATGCTTTCTCTTGCTAGTGGGTGAGTTATCCCGAGAGGCACACAGAGGGCAGGATGGAAAATCAATGTGTGTGAAGGGGACAGGAGAATTGGGATCGAGAAGTTGTTTGTTTGGCTCTGAGCAGTGGTTCAGGAGAGGGATTTCTGGCTTGGCTGCAGGCAGGATTTGAGAAGCTGAAAAAGACATTCTGCTGTCACACAGCAGTGATGAAATGATGAATGTTTCCAGGTCACTGTAAAAAAAAAAAAAAATAGCTATGTTGGTGTTTGTGTGTTTTGTTGTTGTTTTTTTTTCTTCTTGAAGTAGGAAAAAAAAGGGACTGTGTGTTTTGTAGGGCAGGTCAGAGACTTGTGGAATGGACGATGCCTGTTGTCATGCAGGTGAGAAGAGAATGAGATTGTTGAGGCTTAAGTTGAGGAGAAGAGCTTAGAGAATTTGGGCTCCAGAACAGAAAACAAAGATCACGGAGAATTCATAAGTGGTTTTGACTGAAAGAGAATAATCAAGTGCTACCGTTGTTGGAAAGAGGACGGTGAACTGGCATCTGACACCCAGTATAATTTGTTGTTTGAGGCTTTGTCTTACCTTGAATGGCAGTAAGTTGGTAGAAACTTAGTGAAGCCCTACTTGTCTTTGGAAGAAGTTGTTAGCTTGCTTTTTCTTTTTTTTTTTCACCTTGTCATCGGAGTCTCTGGATTTCCCAAGAGGATCCTTTGTGAAATAGGTTAATGAAAAGAGAAACCTCAGACTTGGTTCTCATTCAGTCCCCAACATCGACATCCGTGACCTTACTGAGCCAGAAAGGGTGTCAGTGAAATGCTTCCTGAAGGCTCATTCCCCCTGCCAGATCCACGTGTTTTGGAAGGGAGCAGGGAGTTTCCTTCAAGTGATTTTCCAACAAGTAGAGTTTGGATGACACTTAGTGTTACCTCATTTCTCCTCCATTCCCTCCCTATCTCCAAACAGGCAGATTGATGTCCTGTGTATCAGTACCAGTTATTGACTCCCACAGCAGAAGCTGAGGAAGAGAAAGATGTTATGGTAATTTCCTGGTCCTCTCATGTTCTCCAGCTCACAGACATTGGACACTTTCCCAGACCTTACAGGTGCCTCCAAAAACAGGCAAAATGGAGACTCCTGGCACTGTTGGGGCTTTAAATGAAAACTTTAATGAAAAAGGCCAGTTGACTTGAAAATGCCCAAATGCTTCCAGTCTTTAAAACAGCTCCAGAGCTCCGTAACATTCCTGGCTAGATAGGAACACCCTCTGGCTGCCCTTGACACCCCTCCGGGGAAATCAGACCTGTCTCACTGAAGGGGACGGAGGTCGAACTTTGTTCCTGGGGTCTTCTTGCTGTTGGAATGAGTTGAGAAACATATCTTTATGTGGCACTTCCCTTGTGGCCAAGTATTTCTTTTTTTTCCAGTTCTTGGAAGGGTGCCAAAGGCTTGTCCAAGTGATTGCTAGTTTAGTGCTGGTAGGCACTTAAATCTCTGGTCACTCGATAAAGAACAAGAGGCCTGGGTGTTGTTAAAGCTGTTGATACCATAGCCATGGTAGGTAATCCATATTGGATATCCATAAGGACCACGTGGAAATATTTAAAGAGAGAGAAATATATATATAAATATATAATTATATACATTTTATCGTACAGATTTTTCGTAAAAAAGAAAAAAAATAATTTTTTTTCCAAGTTTGATACTGTAAATCTTTATTAAAAGAAATTGCCAGTCCAGGGCTCCCTGGGTGGTGACCTGGAGGGGAATGAAATGTCCTGGCTAAACTTCCACAGAGGGATCAGAATTGCAAGGTAACGTGGAGGGAGGAATGACCCGAAAGCTGTTGATCGCGTTGGAGACCCAGCTCCTCCACCCTCCTCCCTGGAGGGCCCTCCAGCTTGGGGTTGTCGCGTTGCATTCCTCTGGGGTTCGGTTTGTTTCTGTTGTGTTTTATTGTTTTGTTTTGTTTTTTTTTCTCTCCGTCCTGCACTTGCCAGCCTGACACCCAGGGCGAGCGCGGCGTGGGGAGCGGGCGGTGAGGGACGCGTCCCCGCAGCCGCGCCACCCGCGCATCTCTGCTGCAGTACTTCGGATGCTGGGGCTCCCTTCTCTGCCCCTCTTAGCTTGTCCCCCTGACCCTGCTGAGGAGGAGCAGGGGCTCTGATTTTTGGGTGCTGGGATCCTCTCCCCTGGGCCTGGCCTTTCTTTGGTTGCTCCCCATCCTCAGTGAGACGTGGGAACCGAGGGCTGGGCGGGAGGCAGGAGAAGAAAGCGTCGCGCAGGGACCGGGAAGGGACACCTCTGTTCTCGTAGACGTGTTTGCTGTGCTCTCTGTCGGGAGTGGGGAACCTTGCCCTCCAGGGCAGCTCCAGATCCCTTGGAAACAAGGCAGTGTCTCTGCTCCTGCCCAACTCCAGCGTCTGCCGGGAGGAGACCGCAAAGTGCAGAGACCTGGGTGCCACGGCAGCTCCGGGACGGCGGGGAGGGACGAGGCGAGCTGTGCCACGGGATGGCTCAGACCCGGGGAGGAGGAGAAGGTGGCAGTTTTTTCTCTCTCGAATCATTTAAACTTCATTGTCATGATTGTTTTTATTTAAAAAAAAAAAGAAAAAAGAAAAAAAGGAAAAAACAAAAAGAAAAAAAAAAGAAACAAAACAAAACGAAAAACTTTTGTAATGTGGATTTGTTTTCCTTCGTCTGTATTTCAGTCTGCTGGGGTGTTTCTGTAGATGGTGGATACTTGCTTTCATTTTTTTAATGATAGAAGTCTTCTGTTTTAAGTTGTTTTTTATCACCAGCTCATTCTATCCTCTGTGGTTACTCAGTAATTTCATTTCAATATTTATTTTTGTGCTGCTTTTTTATTATAAAATAAATTATTGATATACCAAGCAATGTGGATTCCTGTTTGTAAGGCGAATAGCCCTGTGTATGTGTCCATTACTTCTCTTGACAGCCACAACGTAATTTATTGCTGTAAATTTAGCTGCAGTGACTGGTTTTTTTGTACCTTTCCAATAAAGCATTTTCTGGTTTCAGACTTGCCCTGGTCTATGGTCAGCGTTTTGGAGCCTGAACTGATCTTCAGTGGAGTGTTTTCCTCGGGTTTTTTTGCTGCCTGTCCCCAGTGCAGCACCCGGCTGGCTGTGGCACTGCGGTGAGCGATGTTTTTTGGAGGCAGGCTGGGCTAAGGCGAGTGGGATGGCAGCTTGGGCTTTTGCAATCATCTGACCCACCCTCCTGGAGCCCGTCTCAGCCTTGCTGTGGTGCTTTCTTGGGACACTTGGAATGCGCTCCAGGGATAGCTCTTGTCCGAGCTGCTTGTCAGGTCGATCCCGTGCTCAGACCGCGTGTGTTCCTAACCCAGGGGCTCTGTCTTTGTGCACAACCAGTGGGTGTCTGTGTTAGCACAAGCTGGACTGACAGCTCAGCAGGCACCTGCCTGCAGTCGTGATGCTGAGCAAAGCCAGTTGTGGCTCGGAGACACTGTGACCTGTCTTGAAGTGCTGGAGAGAAACACTCCTCTCTCTTCCTTTGGGTTGTGAAACACGGTTCCCCTGTGTGACTGCTTGTGAATAAACTGCTTTAACCCCTTATATCAATACTTCATCTTTTTGCTTTTCCCTGGTGGGGCTTTTAAAAAGGTGGTACCTTGTGCCAGTGAGCTTTCAGGGGTTGTGTTGGCTTTAGTTTCCTATTTCAAGTGGTCGAATTTCTTGAGGGAACAGCTGAAGGGGTAAAACACTTGGCCTGTGTTGAGGCAGTAGGCTGGAGACAGATGGGTGTGTTGGCCAAAGCTGGAATTAAGAGGTAGGGCAAAGTGGAGAGGAGCAGGGCTGAAAGGCTTTGTGTGTCAGCAGGTAATGGATGGTCATTAGCTGGGGCCAGGCAGGCTTGGCTGAGCAGGTACCTGGGTGAAGCCTGGGGGTGATGGCAGTCTGTGCTGAGCAAAAAAAGCATTATCAGCTGCTTTGGCTCCTGCCTGGAGTCACTGCAGTAAGGAGCTGGTGACAATGGAGGGGACAGGGAGGTGGGCCAGTGTGACTCTTGGAGGGATGGAGGAGCACTGGTTCAGGAGGAAAAGGGCATCAGGAGTGGGTCAGGTGAAGGTTCAGAAGTGAAAGGAGTTCACCATGCATAGAGGAGGAGCATAAAACGTCTGTGTGAACGGGTGGGGTAAAAGCACAAATCCTGCTCTCTGGTGCGGGTCTGGCACTCTGGTGCCTGTCAGCAGCTGGGCCCAGGGACTTGTTGGTGAGTGCTAGCACCCAAAAAAAGAAGTGTCTGCCTCTGACAGGGTGCTGTGCAGTGAGCAGCCGTGCGTGAGAACTGCCTTTGCTGTGGTGCCAGCGGCTGCCTTCCTTCCCCTCTGCTTTCAGGGAGGTCAGCCTGAGCTCCTACAAATGTAGTGGCAGGGCATGCCCTGTGCCGATCGTCCCTGACATGAGTGGGGGTGTAAACCTGCCTGATCTAAGCCCAAAAAGCACCAGGAGATCCAACAGCTGCAGCTCAGCCTTGTCCTTGGGGAAATCCCGAGGACAAGCGACAACGGGAAAACAAATCTGCCGACCACCGGAGCCTGCTGCTGGCAGTGAGAGAAGCCTGTTCCTCCCAGGCTGCCTGCTGGCGTGGCTCCAGGCACAGCAGGCTCCTGTGTAGGTCACCCGTGCGCTCGCCGCCAGCTTTCCCCGTGTCCTTGTTGAGGAGGTGGAGGAGACGCATTAGCAGAGACCGCGTCCAGCCTACACCACCGTTGGCATTTCTATTCCCCGTGGATGCCTTTTGACAGCCTGAGGGTTTGAGGGCTGTGACAGTGCCCAGCCTGAGCCGTCAGCTCTTGCCTCTCTCCCCTCTCCAAGGAAAAGGACGAGCAGGAGGCCCAGCTCGCGCCGGCTGGAGCAGCGAGGGTGTCTGCTGTTGCCGTCGCGGCAGCCAGCTGGTGTCCAGCCCAGCACGGCTCCTTCAGGCTGGTATCACACTGCTGACTTGCATGAGTCACAGCTGACTTTTTTTTTTTTTTCTTTCCCCCCCTTGTTTGGCTTGCAAGAAAGATCTGTTTTACATATAATACAGTAATCAGGGCTTGACATAAATAGGCAAATGTTATTGTCTGCAGTGGGAATTGCACCTGCTGGCAGAGCAATGGAGGCAGCCCATTATGCACCGGAGTCGATCATTTGTGCAATGAAGTACAACCACGGTTCTTGCTGTGTTCTTGTGCAAGTCTTTATCTCAGTGGCTGTGAGTGCGCCAGCAGATGTGCCATCATCACCTTTGCAGTCTGTCCTCGCCCCAGGAGCCAGAGCAGCCTCTGTTCCTGCAGCTGTGGCCATCCTCTCCCAGAGGGGTGAACACCAAGATGTTTAGCTGAGATATCCCTGCTTTGGTGCTGGCTGCGTTACAAAGCCAAGCAGCCTTGTCCCTGAGTACTGAGGCTGCACTTTCTATGCAGGACAGTGTTCTCCCAGGATGTGCAGGATCCTGGATGAATGTCTGGATGTGCAGAGCATCTGGCTCTTGTTTATGGAGCGTATTGCAGGAAAAGTGTCAGCAATCTCACTGGTTGAGCAGGTATGAGCAGTGCTCCTCCAGACCAGAAGGACTTGCAGGACTGGCTGAACTATAGGTTGCTCATGTGGAATCTGAGCTATAGCATAGTAAGATTTCTCCAATAATAATAATAAACAGAGCTTGTCTTGTTGGTGCTGGAGTCTGGGCTTAGTTTACCTAAACCAGATCCAGCAGCTCTGAACCACTGCGTCCACAGCTTAGGCGAGGGTTGAAAGAGGTGCTGTGCAGGGAGAGGAAGCAGGAGACACGCACGTTCTTTGTGGAGTCAAAAAGATGAGCACAAATCCTGTAGGAATGCCAAAATGTGCAGGATGCTGCGTGTGCAGGTATTTCTGCTGGGCCAGCATTGAGGGGCAGGGAGGACGTTAAGCTTAAGAGCATCAGCATTATAGCAGGAACAGGCAGATCGTGGGCTTTGCTTGCTGAGCTCAGTGAAAATGCTTGCTTGCTCTGTGCTAGAAATTGCTGTTTATTAGAAAAAAAAATAAATAATTTTGTGTTGTGATTTACATTTTGCAGCTTAAGAACAGGAGAAAAAAAAAAATCCAAATTCTACAAGTTATGTTTAAAAGGGCACCAAGCCTTATCCATCGGTTTGTTTGCCACATGACTTCAAATCTGAGGCTGTAGATTTGCCTTCATCCTTCCACTAGCTAGCTACCATCCCAGACAACAGCCCTACCAGTGCCTGAGTTCATTCCCAGGGATCATCTCATTAACAGGAGAATAGAAATTAGACTATTAATTGGGGGAGAAAGGAGAAGTCTTAACAGAAGGACGTGAGCTCGCCATCACTGATATGAGGAGCATCCCTCCATACATAGTCTTCCCTTGCCTGTGGTCTTGCCCCACATGGCAACGTCCCTTCGCACCTCTCTGTCCTCACCATGGTCACCCAGCTGGGCTCAGCTCCTGCTTGCCTTTCCACAGGTCAGGCAAAGCCCAGGGACGGGGAATAGTGAAGGGTTAGGAGGAACAGACAGTTCCCAGTAAGTGAATTCCTACCCCCACCAGTCACAGTCTGATTCTCTAATAAAGATTCTGATAAGGAGGCTGGAATCCCTTTTAACTTCTGATCCGTTCAGAGATAAGCTGGTTTAGACATAAACAAGCACTTCTGTCACCGGCAGCTCTCAGAAAATGCAGCTGCAGACCTCTGGTTAGTCCCAGTGAGGTCCTGCCACACTCCCGGGGGAGTTACTTGGACAGCTGCATCCACATCTGGAGGGAGAAGAGGATGACTTACTCTTTCTCCATGGTGAAGGTCTTTTGCACATCTCTATAAGCTTTGCTGTGAGGAGAGGAGGAAAGATGTAAAAATAAGGAATGACGTCTTTCAACCTTTACCAGGTTTTCAGGTGAAGTGAAGTCACCTTCCTGGGCTGGTTTTCTCCACAGAGCCCTTGGAGATCATTTTTTACTCAAATTGGGAGAAACTAGAGCAGAACTGTGCTGAGAAAAGCATTTCTCTCAGGCCTCAGCACTGCTTGGAGGTAAGAGGAGGGCGAGGGCAGCTGGTCTCTCCTGCACCCCGGCTCCCCTCCCTGCCTGGCATCCCCCAGCATTGGCACAGGGCTGGCAGAGAGACAGCAGCAGTGGGGCAGCAAAGGCCAGGCTGCAACACAGAGTCCAACACAGCTCCATCCATGACAACAGAAGCTGGCACTATTTGACTTAACCTTTTCTGGGTTATTGCATCTTCCCTTTGAGAGACTGGCTTTTTGGATAGAGTTCCTGGCTTCTCAGTACTCTGATTAGCCCAGGCTGTCTCAGCCTCAAGACACCTCCCCTTTGCATGGGTTACAACCTCTTCAGTGTCAGTGTCTCTTTTGATACCTCCTACAGCTCCTCATCTGACAGGATTAGCATTCTCTTTTCAATGTTTTTGCTCTTCCTGCTGCTCTGTCCATCCATCTTGGAGGCCACGTGCCCATTCTCCCCTGGCGCTTTGCGCTCTGCCTCCTGCATCGACTGCTGGGTGTAGTGCTGGTACGTGGGGGAGAAGTTGTGGATGGCATCCTGCACGATGTCCTGGGGGCTGATGGTCTCCTTCAGCCCACTCGAGATGCTCTGCATTGGGGCAAGGTTTGCTGCAAAACAGGAGATCAGGAGTGTGATGGGATAGCATCAATGAGCCTAAGTGATCCAAGATAGTTTTCCTTAGAAATTCAAGATCAGTGGCTCATTGTGGGCCACGTCAGTTTGCGGTTCCAAGTTCCAAAGAGAAGGAAGGCAATCCCAGCTCCATGTTCCAAAGAGGATAGATCCTCTCCAACAGCACGTGGAGAATACTACCATCCCCTAATCCTGCCCAGCCACATCAAGGTCTCCTTACCTGCCCCCTTGTTTTAGCTTTTGGGTGTCATGAGGGAAGAGGGAGAAGAAATGCATGGAGCACAGGATAAAGAAATTCCTCTTGTAGCTTTCAGCATCCCATTGTTAATGGGATACAAATAAAATAAGGGAGGTTTCCTCTTTCCTTAGTCATTGAAGAAAGGAAGAAGCAAGGAAGAGTTACCTGTTGAGTTTTCCTTCTTCTCCCTGTACACCTGGCAGGTGAATGCGTAGCGCAGGGCAATAGAAGCGAAGAACATTTCAATGCAGATGATGAAGTTCTGGTAGCCAGCAGCCACTGTCCCAGCTCCCACCTCCTTCCCATCGATGATCTGAACTTCAGGGATCACCCCACATTTCTCCAGGATTGCCAGCAGTGTTCCTGTATGGGGGAAGGGAGGGGGATCAGTTCTGCTCCTGGACCCCTGATCCAGGTGGGGCTATGGGAGGAGAAGTGCTTGGCATCCATGGTGAGACCCACCTTGCCAGAAGGAGAGGAAGATGACAGCCTTGATGGTGATGAACTTGAGCACCGGCTCAAATGGGCGAAGCAGGTCCATGGTGGCAAAGTAGAAGAGGAAAAGGGCATAAAGGGCCAGGCTGACGGAGAAGTTGTAGATGATAGTGATGTAGAGATACCCACTGTGGACGCTGCAGGCAGAGAGAGAGAGAGAGCTGCTGCTCTGGGCTGTGGGGAGCAAAGCAAGGGCAACTGGGGGCAAAGAGAGATCAAATGGGGAAGGGGAGGGTGCATTGTTTTGCTTTGGGGCAGAACACAGCCCAGGAGGGGGAGGGGGACAGAGGTAGCAGCTTCTCCTCTGTTGGTGGGACCTCTTTTTATTTATTATTTTTATTATGGCTCACAAGAGTTTTGTCCCTGTATTGTTTGGGGGCAGCAAGTCTCTGGCACTTTGGGCTCACAGTGCTCTCACTGTCCATGGAGCAGCTTCCTGGGAGACTGGCAGGACACACTGATGGAGCAGGGATCCATCCTCTCCCATTCACCTCCCCCCAGCCCCACCCAGCATCCTCACTTGAAGTCTCCATCGTGGTACTTCCCGAACGCCTGCAGGATGATGGTGACGATTGCCATGAGGGGTTTCACAATGCAGAACTGCAGTGTGGCCTGCACAGGGGAGACACACGGTGTACCACGGGCAGCAGCACATCCCACTCCCCACATCCCACCCCTCTGCTCCAGACACACACACACACAGGAGAGAGCAGTGCTGTGGGGTGAAATATGAACCAGCACAAGATCTGCAGATGAGGGAGTAGGGCTTTCAGAAGGCAGCTCTCGAAAGGCAGCGCAGCCAGTCCAAGGTGGGGGACCAGAGGGCTTGGGGACAGATGTGTGACAGGATTCAGCCCACAGTGCAGTCCTGGAGAGTGAGCCAGCATCCAGGCTAACCTGGGACTGGACAGAGATGGCAATCTGAGCTCTGCAGTGGGAGGAGACCCTGACTCAGCAGTGAGTCAGAGGCAAGGACATCGAGCAGCCTTGCTGCTGGCCAGGTGCCAGTGAGCTGGTGACCTGCCTCCCTCAGAGGAAAAAAGCTTACAAATTCAGCATCTTAAGAGAATAATGAAGCTAAGCCCCCTTGGCAGGGCACTGGGATAGGAACCTGCCACCCTGAGAGCCCTCATCTAAGGGAAGTGGAGTCAATGCTCCCCATCGGGTACCCACCTGCTTGCAGAAGCGCAGGAACCCGATGGAGTAGGACATACCCTGAAGGCAGCAGGTCCCATAAAAGCAGCTGGACCTGGAAGATGAAGGCAAGGGGATGCCATTGGGGGTGCTGGGTGGGAAAAGTGGGTGGAGAAGGAACTCACAGGATGCTGGGACTTACGCAATGGGCTTCCCTCGGATCTCTGTCATGATGGTGCTCTCCCCTCCAAGGTACTCGAAGCACAGGCTCAGGAAGCTGTAAATCACAAAAGCTGCCAAAGCAAGGGCAGACATGATCAGCAGGACTGATGGAAGTCCTGGAGGAGGTTGTTTCATCTTGCATTCCTTCCTGCTCAGGTGTTTCCTCATCCAGCCTGGCACTGCATCAAGATTTGGGATGCTGGTGGGTGGGAGCCCAGTGAGAGGAGCAGCAGGTCAAATCCATCCGACCTCCAAGTGGAGTCGGATACATCACACTGTGTGCACAGAGTTCATTACTGATGAAGAAGCTCCTCTGGGCGCACACAGTCTATCCAGGGACCATCTGCATGGAAGTACCTCAAAATTGCTGAGGGGCAGCACACATGGCTGCTGGCTAGCAAGGAGCAGGTCTTGAACAGTTTTTTTGGACATCCCCACCACTTATTTTTTATATACTCCAAACCTGAAGTAATGCAAATACCCACACATCTTAGTTCCTGAGGAAGAGAGTTCCAAGGTACAAAACCAGCCATAATCCTGACAAATTTCCCTTGCACTTCAACACACCCCAACTCCCCAATTTCTTGGGCACATGTGCCTCATGTTTTAGTGCCTCGTGTGGGCTGCAGATCTACCCCATAGGCAGCCAGAAAACCTCTTCTCCAGGACTGTGGTGGTGGTGTCCCTCCAAGCCTGTGTCTGAAAGGCACGAGCTCATGTTTGCCTGTGGGACATCCCCTCCCTGCTGCCAACAGAGAAGGAAGGGGAAAACTTCTGCATGGAGGAAGGGAGAGTGGGAAGTGAAAGCGATGAAGATTTGCCACTTCACAGTCCAAGATGCCCCAGAGACAGGTAAACACAATGAGAGCCCCACTTTGCCTTCAGCCTCCCTGCTGAGCAGATGCAGTGCTCACCTTCATAGCAGTCACGCACTGAGTCGAAGTAGACGTAGTACTGGTGGCTGCCGAGGAGGAGGAGGCTGAGCCAGGAGTCGAAGGCATAGACAGGCACAATGAAGAGGATGCGGATGATGTAGCGCTGCTCCTTGGGGATGGTGTAATTCTTGAGGTGTGTGTAGATCTGCAAAGTGCCCAGCATGCAGAGTTGTGGCTGCCACAGGTCAGGATGGGAACTAGAGGTGCCCCCAAACCCACAGGGGTGCTGTGTTAAGCCTCCTCTCTGGGGTAAGAGCTCTGCCAGCTTTTCACCACAGACCTATCACAGTGAGCACACACAACAGGCTCCGTCCCAGTCCCTGGGCCAATCCTTTGCATGAAGGCATGTGGAAATCAGGTTCCTTCCCTAGGCTGTGTGAGGAATGTGCCCTCCCCTGTGCAGCCCCATCCCAGTGCTTGGAGACAGCAGCTTTTCCCCAAGGCTGCCTTCAGCAGCATAGACCCACACAGCCCCCTAAACTATGCCCACTCAGGGTATGCCTCAAGGCAGCTGGTGCTGTGCACCCCAAACACCCCAAATGCCCCACTGGGTGTTGCCTCTGGGCAGTGCCAATGCCCTGCAGCCTCTCCTGGCTCTGGCAACCACCTGGGGAGAGCGTGGGCAAAGTCCACCCTTATGAGCTGCCAGCACCAGGCTCCTGACAGCAGGGATATCGCCTCTGAGCAGCAACAGGAAGAAATACTTATCCGGACCTGAGTGATTTGCAATGGGCTTGGTGGCAATCCATAGTTTTGCTCTAACCCTGTTTGTCAACGCCTGTGCTGAGCCCCATCTCTGCTGCAGCCCATACCTGGTGAAAGGTGACAATGAGTGCTGACCACACGAAGATGCCAGAGATGACCTGTGCCGCTGTCGTGGTCAGGAAAAGCTGCTGGCCATCCTTGGAGTTGTTGTGGGCAGCCGTGAGCAGGGCAACAGCTGAGAATGGGGGGGCTGAGGCCAGCCTGGCTGCTGTGCCAGGTGCCATGGGAGAGGGCACAGCACGTGTGGCATTACTCATCTGCAGGGAGGGAGAAGAAAGGGGAGTGGTGCAGGAAGGCAGGAGCGAGGTAAGCTGGTGACAGGGAAGGTCCCAGCAGATTTCCCAGCCCACACAGCATGTACAAACCTCATGTAAGGTTTATCTCCTCCCCAGGGTTTTTCCAGGGTGTCCCTCGCCCAAACCAGCCCCTTTGCCATGATTTGGTCTGCTTATCCCAGCAGGAAAATGCAAATATCCTTCAAAAGCAGACCCTCTTTTCCCTGAGGAGGTCTGTGCAGTTCCCATGTCTCCCAAAAGACACACTTCTACTTCCCAGCTTTGCTCCTTGCTTTCTCAGGAATCACTCCCATTTGAAAGGGAATGATCTGTGCATACTTGAACCCCTGTAAGGTCACATTTGTGGCTCAGGACGCTTTTCCACCAGAAACCAGAGACTTAAGGGTTAAACCAATCCCTCACCCAGGATAATAAAGGGTCCCTTACCAACAAGCCATTAGGACACTTGTGTTGTCCTCCTTGGGAGCCCAGAAAACACCAGGTCCCCCCCAAATTTGGTTCCTTTCATCATGTGTGGCCTGCTTGGGGCAAAGCCAGGGGCTGCCCAAGAAATCAGACATTTGGTGTCACCCACATTCTTCACCCAGCTATTTCGGGATTGTGGGGGTGTCAGTGTGCCAGTAGTGCCAACCCCGAGACCTGAAGGACAGCCAGCGGTCCCTCCTGCACCCAAATTAAGCACAAGGGAGCAAGCCTGCCGTGCCAGAGGCAGGGCTGCTGCCCTTTGGGGATGCTGGAGTGCTATGGCATGTCCCTGCTCGGTGTGTGCTCCTCAAAGCCGGCTGCCCCAAGGCACTGAGCATTCCTGGTGCAGAGGGTGGCTGGGCATATGGACACCGTGTACCCTGTGGCTCCTGACAGCAAGGGCCAACCTAATAATAAGCAATTATTTATAGGGCAGCTTCATATCTCAAGGCCAACAGATGATAAACTGCCATGTTTGGGTTCACTTTCTGCTAATCTATGGAAAGCTGCTTTTTCCTCAAGTATAACAATAGCGGTTTAAAAAACCGACAACCTGCTAGCTGAATTCTACCAATATAGATGCTTCTCAGTTCATTGTTAATAAACAAATATTTTAGCTGCTGGGTAACTATTGCCTGGGGTAAAACAGTAAGCATGAACTGGAGAGAAGCATAAAAATATCTGCCATAGATAAGAGTGGTAAGGAATGACCAATTAAACACTGAAAACAAACCAAAGCAAGAACTGACCCTGTGGCTCCCTGTTCTGCCCTCTCACCGAACCCCAACCTCACAGGAGAGCAAACTCAGCTGGTGTCAGATCAACAGCCCTAAAAATACCTTTCCCCGGCTCCGCCTGGCAGCAGTGGTGTGTAAGCGGAGATGCCCGGGTGGCAGCTGGCGAGGCCCCAGGAGCTCACCCCGGAGTACCCGCGCCGCCAGCGGGGCCGACAGTGTTACACAGCAGCAGGGAACCGTGTTCTTCCTCCCTGCCACCGTCCTGCCGACCCCGGCCAGCAGGAAAAAGGATCCTGGGAAAGCCGGGGCGGGATCTGGTCTTTGGACAGACTTGGATGCTGCCAGACCTGCCTTGTAAACATTAACAGGAGGATGGAGATAGCTGGTGGCACGGGGAGGGAAATGAGAGTCCGGCTCTGCCCTGTTCCCCAATCACTCGTCACTCTTTCTGGAGCCTGCCCTGCTGCTGGCTGGGGCTAAATGACTGGATTTGGCCACGCTTTGCCTCTGCCAGAGCATCATAACAGAGCAGGATGGAAGCTCACTCTTTCTAGCTGTGTTTTTTCTAGTCACTTTTCTAGTAATCCAGCTTAGTCCCCAGGACATGGCAGAGAGCTGTGCTCTTCACTAGATCCATTTAATCTGTTTTCAACCTAGTGCTGTGCCATAAATGCTTGGCCCAAGACATCCCATCTCCTATCAACTTTCCCAGCCCGTGTGTGAGCACGGTGGCATCAACAGCCAGTCCTGGCAGCCTCCCTGACATTGTCACACTCTGAACATGGCAGAGCAAGTCATTAAAAGCAAAAGCCTCGGTGCCGCTCGGAGACAGGGCTCCCAGCTCTACAGGTAATTAGATCCCGGCCATGCAAGGTAGTCAGGCTTTTCAATGCAGTTAGAGAGCCATTTGCTTCCAAAACAAAGGCAGCAAGGAGACACCGGGAATAATATCAGCTGCAAATTTCAGCTCCTCCAAGGGACTGAGCCATATCCAATCTGTCTGTTTTCAGACACCTTGCAGGTACCTGCCATACTGTGTGTACCTGTTACACGCTCCCTGGGATATTAGAGATGCTAAGTGAGAACTGAGAAGATAAACTGAGCAGTGAAGCTTGTGTTCAGGCAGGCCACCTGCAAATGGGGTTTTTCACCTTGTCAGGGATTCCCCTCCATCTGCAGGCTGCCCGAGCTCAGAATCCCAGCTCGCATCCCTCCCTGTGTCCTGCAGCACCTAGGAAAAATCCCCATCTCAGCGGCAGCCTCTTGTGGGGTGAAGTAAGTCAGAAGGGAAAGGAAGCATCTCCCCAGCAGTGTCTCAGATCCCTGACCCACATCCCGGGGAGGGGAGCATCCATGCTTAGCCTCACCAGAGCAGGAGACTTGCCTTTCCCCCTGATTGCTTTCCGATAAGGTCAGGACACTCGGGTTATTTATGGGACCAGCCTCTCCACACCACCATCAGGCCACTCAGGAGGAAGGACCTACAGCACACAGCTACAAATCGCGGCAGGGCAGCATCGAGCCCTCCTTGAAACCCATCTGGAGGAGTGGATGACGCAGGCACAGAGCTCTTAGAGGAGGCTCTGCCCTCCCAGCGACTCCCACAGGTGCTCAGAACCAATGGCTGGGTCAACGCTTATTTTTGGGGTTTCCCCCAGCTGCTGTGCACCCCCCAGGGCCCCACTCACCCTTTAGGGCTCCTCCGGGAGGGAATCTGGCTGCCGTGCACCTGCCTCTGCATCCCCCGTGCCCTCCTCCACCTGCACCGCTGGAGACTCCTCCTCCGGCCACCCTCCCAGCCCTGCCCGCCTGCTGGCCGCGGGCCCTGCCACTGCCCCAGTTACGCTGCCTGCTCCCCGGGTCTCACCAGCGTCCCACTCTCCCTGTCAGCACCCCACTTTTCCCACCAGCGTCCCACTCTCCCTGCCAGCCCCCCACTGGCCCCGCCGGAGCCCCGCTTACCTTACCAGCGCGCCCTGGCTGTGCCCGGCTCACCCTGCCAGCGCCCTCCCTGCGCCCCGGGCCCCGCGGGAGCTGGAGCAGCAGGTCGGGCTTTGTCTCCGGCAGAAAAGTAACCCAACTTACCTTTCCAGTCCGCCGCGCTCGGCACCCACGCCCGGAAAGCAAACACGGATGGAAAACAGCAGTGCTGCCCGACGCCGCTGCCCCCCACCCAGCACACGTCCTGCGGCCGAGGGCAAGAGCTCCGCCGGGGTGGCACAGGCAGCTTTCCCAGCAATTGGGAATTAATCCCTACCTGGAGGAGAGCGGTGACTAAAAGGCAGGCAGCTGGTGGCACCTCGTGCCTGTTGTTTGGGCAGGCCTTCCCTTTGGTTTACTGCGCAGCAGAGAGGAGCAAAGTCGAAGGACCAATTGCTCGTGCTCTAATTTATCGCACATGGAAAAGCAGCAAGGTAAGTCTGTCCTGGCTCCGAGCATTAAATCAGAGAGGTTTCCACGTCCTTTCCTCACCCACCGCCCCGTGCAGACCTGGTGGCACACACACAGCCAGGAAATGAAGGTGCTTAACTTGTACCTGGCTTTTAGGCAGTAACACTCAGCTCTTTGGGGCACAGCAGTGGTATGCCACTGTATCAGCACAGTGGAAGATGCAATTTCCATCCAATTTGCTAATTCATGTATGTCTTCTACAAGATGCTGGAGCTCTGGACACAGTAAGAGCATCAGTTTTGTGTCAGGAGAGAATCCCTACTAGCAAACCAAGATTGACAATAACAAATTCCACATGCTTCTCTCAGCCTTCCTAGACAAAAAAAAAAAAGGGAAGTGTAGAAGAGGAAAAATTTATAGTTCTGACAGATGTGAATCTTTGATTCTTGGAAGCACAGTTTGGAAAATTATTTTTAGATGAAGTTTCTTGTCAAGGGCAGCTGGAAGCCTGCAGTGTTTGAATGTATTTTTAAAAAAGAGTTTCATTTCTCATAATCCCTTTAAATGCTGTAAATAACCCTTACTTCAGAGAAAAGAGTCCTTTCGAAATCCATTTTCTGCTTTTCTACTTCTAGGGGATTTTTTAGCAACAGAAAAGCCCTGGCAGCTGGATCACCATGGGGCAGGCACCGGCTCTGCGCTGATTCTGCTGTACCAACTGGTCTTAGCACAACTCCTCCCTGCCCAGACTCCAAGACCTGGCCTCCGTCTGTGCTGTCAAGTTCATAAGTGACAAAAGTGTCTAACAGCTCACTTAAAAATTTACTACTTATTCTTGTTTATTACAAGAGGTAAAAACAAATGTGCTTTCCAAGTAAAAAGGCAAGTTTGGCTATTAATCTTTGAATCAGCTCATACAACTTAATCTGACACTTTTTGTAAATTACTTGGCAGAAACAACCCTGTGTAGCCCCTTAAACCCTCTGTCCCCACATCTCCAAGACAGATGCTCACCACAGGTGATCAGCTTATGGATGCTGTTTCTCCCATGTGCTGGTAACATGTAATCCATTGACAGAGATTATTTTCTTACAACTATTTTGGGTTCCTGTCTTCCACCCTGACATCAGCTTTCATGAAATTTGCCGAGCATCATTATCTGCCTCTCTTTAAAATCAGCGTGAAAGCACAAAATTAATTCAGCCTACATCCAGAAAGGAATGGACATAAGGACAAAAGCAGCCATCTAGGACTCATTTCCTTAAAAAAAGGCAAGAATATCTTTCTCATTATACAACTGTTGATTCTTTTACCAAGGCTTGTATTTCAACTAAGTGATTCTCACAGAGCAAAAAAGAAAACAGGTAAAATTTTATTTGACAATGTTTCTTTTATTCCCTCTGCACTGGGTGTTCCCCCTTTGCGGTACAGCAGAGCTTGGCATCTGCTGCTGCTCGGGACACATGTGCAAAGCCAAGTCCTTTCCCAAATAAATGACCCACCCAACACGATAAAAGTAGCACTTCTCTCCTATGTTGAGACAATTGCTCTCGTCTCACCACTGTCTATATGGACTTGCAAACCTGTCCCAGTAACAAAACCCACAAACGTTCTACACAGTAGAGAAAAATTCATGAAATTCCTCAGGACGTCCAAAACCACCACAAAGACATTCCATCATTTTCATTTCTAGTCCTTTTAAATAGGTGGTGATGAGTCATGGACTCAAGATCATTTCCTTGAATCCAGATGGCACAACTTCACCACACTTGGCAACTTCGGATCACTTCTCGTAGAGCCTGTATTCCTTCCATGGTCTTGTCCTTTAAAGCCATGGCGAGGAGAACAGGTTTGTTCCCAGCTTCCTGCGACACGAATGCCACCAGGTTTTTGGCACAAACATGAACGAGGGGCTGAAAAGCAAAGGGATACAGATGCACATTACTACAGATGGGAGAGCCCTCCTGCAGGAGTTAGGAGAGGAAGAGTCCCGGAGTGACACAGAGAACCCATTGATCCTGGACTCAGTCTGAACTCGATACTCGCTGAGCAGTTCCAACGTGGTCAGCAAAGGCAAGCCATGGGATAGGGAACTCTAGAAAGCACTTTCTCAACCAGCTTAAAAGGGAAGAGTTTGGTACCAAGAGTGTGCCAGCCACCCACACTACCCTGAAACAACTTTTCTGGAGCTGTACTTGAATTGAGTACAGTACTGTCTGGAAAACTTGGAAACTCAGTATGCATAATCTTCCCTTCCATAATCCTCCCACCTGAACTATGGCACCAGTGTTAAATTATATGAAACATTGTGGATCCAAATGCCTTTATTTCCTTCACAGCCAGGTTTTTAAAGCATTTTGCAAGTACAGTTTTTTTGTTTAAAAACTTGTTTTTAAGAGGGGATGCTCCACTGACAAGCTCTGGAAAAAAGCTGTTATTTTTGTAATTCCTAGAGACCCCCCAAATGGTGTTATACGCACAGTTTTTTCTATGTCTGGTGTTACAGACATGTTGCTTTTTATTTTAATAGAATAATGAAAACCAGAAATAAGTCATGAGGCTGAAGGAAGCAAAAAAAAGGATATAACCTTTTCCATCAGGTTTCTTTTAACAAGAAAAGATCAGAACAGCAATGACTATTTTACCTGGAAGACACCTACAACAACACCTAGTCCAACTGCCTGATCAACTCAGAGCTGACCAGGTTAGAAAATTATTCAGAGGATTGTCCAAATGGCTCTTAAATACTGACAGGCTCAGAGCATCAACCACCTCAAGCCTGTTCCAGTATCTGACCACCCTCTTGGTGAAGAGGTGTTTTCTAATGTACAGTCTCAACCTCACCCAGCAGAGCTTCGAACCACCCAGCTTGTCTAGGTTTCATTTACACCCACAGATGTCTATCTGTCAGAAGGATGAGATTGCTTGATTTTAGCTGCTGTTTGGAAGTGTGTAACATCCCAAAGAAGGGTGTTAACAGTGACAAACAGGAAAGCAGCAAACTAGTGAGTCTTTTCTTGAAGTTTAAAGATCAGTTAAGTTAGCTAAAATTATTTTAAAATAGAATGGAACAAAATAAACATAGCACTTCCCATTTCTAAATAAAACACAAAATAAGCTTGGGAGTAGAGGTGGTCAGCATTAGCAGATATCAAAGCAGAGAAAGCATATGTCCCATTCAAAATGGGAATGCTATTGCTCAAGAGAAAGAACTCCACAAGGGGAAATCCTGATAGAATCAGGAACTTGTGTTGCTACATCTTTTCTAGTTAAAGCTTGCAAGTAATATGTGATAACTTCAACCCTAATGGAAAGCCTCATAATCTTGTAGCTCTGTAACTTTCTGTTTTAATGTTTGACCATGCTTTGTGAAACATATTTGCTTCTGCTTTCTCTCTAGCTTTGTGAAATGGTCGATTAAAACCTCATTTTGTTGAAGCAAAACAAATTAAACTTTATCAAGGGAAGGTGCTGGCAGGCAAACTTGGGAGCGGGCAACTAAAGTCCATTATGGGGATGGCATAGACTGGGGCGGATAGGGGTGGGAAAACATACCTGAAAAATAAAACATATTCATTGGAACAGAAACCCAAAAAGGTTATCAATGGCAGCATGTTTAATCTTGCAACCCTTAAATCAACAGAGCTTATCAAACTTTCCATAAACATGCAGAAGCAACCCATATCCTGTAGGACACAAAACAACAGATCGCCAAAACGTTCATGGTTAAACTTTTATGTCCAAGAGCAGACCAGTGCACATACTTTTCTGATGAGCCCCTCTTTCCTCATTTTAAAATTAATCTTATCACTGTTCAAACACTGCTTAACTGCTGTGATTCATCAACTCCCTGGCAACTTGCACGGCCCCACCTACTACATTTCCCCCTTATCCTTGCTGCCTCTGCGCTTCGCATCCGCTCTCACCTCATCCTTGCCCAGCAGCACCTTCGTGGTGAGCGAGGGCCTGCCCACGTTGTCAGCGATGGTGTTGGGGTCCACGTAGACGATGGTGCCCATCTTGCCGTACTGTGTGACCACCACGAGGACCGAGTTGGAGAAGGCCGTGCACACCACCTCGGTCGGCACGCCGTGCACCACCGCCTCTCGCTGCTTGGATGTCACGATGGGACCCGCTTCCATCGCTTCCGACACAGAACAAAACGACAACAGCATGACCAGCGTTAGATTAAAAACGTGCGCTGCGGGCTACAAAAAGACCGAATCCTTCCCATAATTTGAAATACCCGCGGTTAAGTTAATTTCAGTGCAAACCCGCACCCCTGACTGGGGGGCACTTCGCAGCCCCGCAGCGATGGCATCACTACCCCCGCATGGCCCCGCTGCCTCTGACAGGGGCCCCACTAACGAGGGGGAAACCTCCAGCCCTACTTTCCACCCCGGCTCCACCAGGCTTTTCCTGAGAGAGAAATCGAGACACGGAGACAGCGAGGCAGCCATCCCCCATCCCGCCAGGCCGCGGCCCTCACCGCCCCTACCCTCGCCAGNCACCGAACTCTCCTCACGGTCCCTGGGCGGTCCCGGGCGGAGCTGGCGCAGCCGGGCCCTTCGCCGAGGATGAACCCCTTCTCCAGGGATGAACCCCATCCCCAGGGATGAACCCCTTCTCCAGGGATGAACCCCTTCCCCAGGGATGAACCCCTTCTCCAGGGATGAACCCCTTCTCCAGGGATGAACCCCTTCCACCAGTGCGCTGTCCGTGCCCGGTTTCTCCCCGTTTCACGCCGGGTTTCAGGGCAGGACCCCCGTGCGCCTTGAGGGGGTGGCATGTGAGGGGACAGGTGACTGTGGGGGCCCTAGAAGGGCTGTGAATATTGTTTATCCCTTCCTTTCACCACGGGATATGTTTGCTCCCACTACTGAGTGATGTTAGGCCACACTGCTAGTTCCCGAGTGTGCTTTCCCATCTAAATAAAAGCGGCTTATGAAGGGGGCATGTGTAAAGGACACAACTTTTTAGATAGGCAGACAGAGATAGGACAAAGTGAATGCTTTTAAACTCAAAGAGAATAAATTATATTGGCTATTAGGAAGAGCTTCCCTATGAGGGTGGTGAGGCCCTGGCACATGGTGCCCAGGGAAGCTGTGGCTGCCCCATCCCTTGGAGGTGTCCAAGGCCAGGTGGGACAGGGCTCAGAGCAACCTGGGATAGTGGAAGGTGTCCCTGCCATGGCAGGGTGAAATGAGATGATCTTTAATGTCCTTTCCAACCCAAACCACTCTGTCATTCTATGAAAACAAGGCTGGTTTTGGTCACAGAAGTGGCCTTGCCATTAGCCAAGCAAGCGTTGGCAGATGCCCAACGTAGCTGTAGTGGGGGATGAAATAAAGACATCTGTGTGAGGAGAGTGAAATCAAATGTGTCTGTGCCAGGTGCAAACATTAATTTCTATTAATTATACCCAGTTAATACAGTCAAAACCCGCATTCCCATGTTTTATCTCTACCAGCATCCTCACCGCATCCCAAATATCCTGGCCATGGTACAGCAATAGCTTACCTGACCTGTGAGTTGTCTGTTCAGGTAACATCTCTGAAGGACCTCATGAATACTTCTTTTGTTTGTTTTGCATTAAAAGTTTTACCAAAAGTTGACTACAGGAGGAGCACATAGACTTTGTGCTGAGAATCCTTTAAGGTACCGTTAGAGAGCAGCAGAGGTCCATGGAAAAGCTTTTAATTCAGCAGGTTATTTTTGTGGTTAATTCAAACAGAGAGACTCGATACCTTTTTGGTACTCTTTGCAGTCTGGCAAATAGTCTGTTTTCCAGCACTGAATAAACAGCATTCTTCTTTCTTGCTTACCACAATCACTCGAGGCTTTGCCTGTTTGACAGAGATAATAGCAGCTATTGTCAGTAAAACCTCCTGACTCATAAAGAAGTTTATTCCTGCTCTGCTTTCTCCAGAGAGTTACTTTACTTCAGGACACAAAGGGCTGGATTCTTCCTGCCGTCCTTGCCAGACTTCATTTTATTTTTTACATGACAGGAGAACAAAGGGAGTCCACTGTAGTTCAGATTTACATGGAAACACCATTCTTTGCTGTTTTACATTAGTTTGGGACAAATAAAAAGTTGTCTTTCACAGTTTCAGTCAATTGGATGTCTCATTTTGGCATGTAGCTGAGGTGGGATATAGCAAGCTGAAGTAACTGAACACTGAATCCTCATCACTGAAAGTGAAGACATTGAAGAAATGAACCGAGGAGTAGACTCCTGCTGTCTCTGTGACTGAGGCAGGGGATGGGGATTTGAGAATCCACACCAGGACAGGTAATGGGACCTTTCCTGAGGGGGTCTGACTGCCTGTCATCTGCTTCCGAGCATTTCTATCTGAGTTCTGCATCCATACTCATCCTCCTGATTTCTGTAACACTGTTCCTCCATAGATCCCTGATCACATTGCAAACATTATTACGTTTAGCTTCATAAACTGTCTTCTATCATAATAGATTGTTAATATAACCCATTTTACATTTCAAGTGAAATAAAGAATCAAAGACCAGTAGCAGTTTCAGAGCCATCAAATCCTCAGCTGGAGATTTCACAGGATTTCAGGATCCCCTCTTCCATTCCCATGCACTTGCTTCTGAAGAAGCATAAGGCGTGGATGTCACTATCTCAGTTATAAAAGAAAATCAATGACTGTGCAGTCCCATACTTTGACAAGCAAAACTACTCCTAATATTGTAGCTTAATACCTTTATTATTATTTATTCAAGCAGTTTCGTATGCTTTTCTATTTAAACTGCTTAAGTGTCTCTGTGTGTGTAGGCTGGAAGGAGGCTGCTTTTATATTAGTCTTTGCATTTATCTGAACTGACTTTATAAGAGCAAATGTGTAAGATCCACGAAGCATCAGAAATTTTCCCACTACTCTTGAACATAGACACACAGTGTTTCAGGACACCCATTAATAATCCCTGCTCTGGGGAGTGCCTCACTATCAAAGTGCTGGGTTGGTTTATTAGTTTACAGGTTATTACTTCTGTAGTTTAGATTTCTCTCTTGTATCTTTTATGATGCAGGATATAGACTGTGAGCTGGAACCTCAGGTGCAGCTGGACTCTGGGCTGCACAGCCAAGGAGAGAGGAAAGGAATTAGTTTGCTCCCTGATGCAGGAGCTGCTTGGGAATTATTCTGACCCTTGTTATAAATCAGGTACATGAAGTGGAGCTGCCTGTGAGTACATTCCTCGGGCCAGATAATATTGGAACGCTCCTCTTCCCCTTATTACTGTCACAGCGAGGTCGGGGATGTGGGTGGTGCGGGGTTGTGTGAGGGCTCTCTCTATGGGGCCATTGTAAAAGGAGAGTAGAAAGAACTACAGAAATTCACCTCCTGTATTTCTTCTTTCATGCCATCCCCACTACATTTAATTAGCCTGGAAGAGACTGTGTTCAGAAAATAATAGTGAATCAAGGCCCTGGGGGAGGCAGGGAGAGGAGCGCACCTGGGGCTGTTTAGCCCCAGCAGTTGGGTCTCCCTGGCTGGCGCTCCGCAGTTAGCGGAGAGAGGCTTTGGCTTTTGGTGCAGAGTGGAAACACGGCTTTGAACCCAACTGTCAGGAGTCACCCCTGCTGCACCTGGAGTTGGTTGGTTTATCTCTGGGATACTGGAGCTCCTCCTGGTATAGGTATTTATACAACCACAGCCCAGCTGCTTCTGCACATGAGCAGAAATGGGACATCAGGTGTGCAGAGGAGCCCGAGGTTGGACCATGAGCCACTGAGGAGTTCAGATGTGTCCAGGATTAGGTGATACCTGAACAGCATCTCACAGTTAAAGCTCTGAGGCTCTCAGTTTACATGCTCATATTTTTAAGAAGATGAGGGGATTCTGGCTCTTTTGTGCATTGGTCTCTTTTCTGTGCTCCCTAGGATAACAGGATTATCAGTTCTTACTCTGAGAGACAATTCGAAGAGGTTTGCTTTGTTCTGAAGTTGTCCCCATAGTTCTTATTGTATGGAACATCTCTTATTTCATTGATTGTGGGAGAGGAAGGCTCAGCCAATCCACCAGGCATTGCAGAACCATTCCAACCTATTTTGTTGTTGATGAAGTTTTGTTTTTTTTTTCCCAGCATAGAATTCAGCCAGCAAAAAACACAGTCTTAGAAGAAAAAACAAACAACACTTAAATCCAAATTGTTCCCTTTCTGAGTGAGCTGCACTGAGCTGTACATCTGAAATAGAAACGCTGGATGTGTTTACAAGCCTGGGACTGTCAGGCCATGCTATTGTTTTGGTTTCTTGCACTTGCAGCTTAGTAAGGAAGCAATATGGGAATGTTCATTAATGTTTGTGTCAATAGTAACAGCCCACATATGAGCACTAGCAGATTTTCCTGAGAAAGCTCAATGCACAGGGTAGGATTTAAAAACATGGCAGTAAGCCAGCATGCCCTGGCTGGGCCTGGAAACATCTAGGTAGCAATTTGACTGGTGGAAGTTTTTTTTAGTCAGATTTAGCGACCTATAAATAGAGGAGTACTCCAGCCCTTGTAGGACTTTTTATGCTGTGTCATTGGTGTTTTCTGAGCTGCTCTGCAGGCTGCGGGAGGAGGATTACAGATCCATGGGGCTGAGAGGAGAAAGTAGCAGCCTTGATCCTGGGGGAGAATTTTGGGAAGGGGCTCCTGCTGAAGTTGCAGAGCCTGGCAAGAGTGAATCAAGTCACACCTGCAGAAAGACTTTACTGAAAACAGTTTCTGGGGTGCTCAATTCAAACAGCAGTAGTTTTCATATGTTCAGTACCCTTAAAACCAGCACATCTTAAATTTCTTTGCAAAAATTTCTCCAGAAATTATTTCAACAACCACTAAAATGAAAATTACATTCTGGAAATGGGTGAGATACACTTCCAGAAACACTCCAGACTACCTAAGAGCACTAAAAGAGCTCCAGCTACCTAAAAGAGTCAGGATTACATCATGCAACCAACCTGGTGCTGTCTGATGATAATTTTATCCTCGATATTTATCATGAGATAACAGCTGGCTGTTCTGGGCACTGTAGGCAGGGGGTATGGAACAGACAGAGTCATCACGAGGCAAGATTGAGTTTGAGTACTGTTTACATAATTTTCATTTGTCAAATAACAGCCCTTCATAGATCACAACCATGACAGCGCCTGTGGATGGTATCATCCATCAGAAGATCTACTCTGTGAGCAGCAGGAGCTTTGTACTACTGCAGTGGCCAAAGGAATTATTTCCATGGATCAGTAAAGACAGCAGCAATTGCCTTAAAGCTCACTATAGTTTATGTAGGAGATTTTCAGGTGCTTGTGGTGGTCTGTCAGAGGGAAGACAACATGCAAATGGAGTGGATTGTACAGTAATATTTTACTGTGGCATAGCTTCTAAGAGTAAAACTCATAGCCCTCTGCTCCTGAGAAGTGTGAAAGCACAGAAAATAACTCCATGGCTCTTGCAGAAGTAACGAGAATGTGAG